TGCTAAAATACAACTAATTGAACATGTTTTATTTAACAATGCACTCAACACAGACAACATCATAAATGTATTCGTAATGCTTTTTTTTTTCTACTGATACTCTCTTTCAACTAACTCAAAAGATCCAGCGCAATATTACAGAGTCTTCCAATGTGTTTATCTCACAAGTTGACTTTGCAATAAAATATATTTTACAGCCCTACCCAACAAAGACATAAAAAGTGTACCATCAGTGTGTATTTCACTTGAAGCTAAAAATGCCTCAGTTTCCAGCCAACCAGAACAAAAAGCAGTTTGTTCATTAGTTACAGCTTTAACAGAACTGAAGAGGCCTTTCGTCATGAGAACGGCTCAGTAATCAACTGTACGGTTCTGAAATATTAGTAACACATGATCAAATCAGACATCATCTTTCTGAAGCAGAGCCAGACAGCAGAAATGGTTTCCAGATTTTGCACATTTAAGGGGCGTGGCTGCAAAGAGGAATCGTAAATATCTCGGAGTAATCCTTTGACGTCTTAACCCTCTGTTAAAGAACGTAACTTAACTCTTTACTTTGCTGTCAACAGGATGTTTACTACTTACATGCAGAGCACAGCGGGGATAGCATAGTTAATCTTTCAATAACTCAAATGCATGTACTCCACCTCAATTGGCACTTTTCACTATTTTTCCTCACCTAAGGCTTCCATAGAGTTACCATATGTTTCTTTATCAAAGAAGCAGACCTGTAGAGTTGACATGGGCCCCATTTCACCCAGATTGAGGCTGTTAAAGGCCCCGCACACCCACTTCCTGTGTGCTTCTTCTCTCATCTTACTGAGCCGTGACATTCTTTGATTCCTGTCCACTGCAGCTCCATTGCAAACCAGTCGGCTATGGAAGCAACATATACAGGCCATAGAAAGTCACTGTTGCTAATAAGAAGTGTTTTACAACTCCATACAAAACAGCTTTTAAATGGGAATTTGAATTGATTAATGCCTCTTTATCCTTTATTTGAAAGAAACATACTGTTCAAGGATGTACTTGGTTTTCCTTCTGGTCAGGTTATAGCTCAAAGAGGCCCTAATGACTGACATACTGTATACACAAAAATAAGTGTCAATTTTTAAGAAAAACAAACTGTAATGAAACTGGTTGGTCTCAAACTTTTTCTTCGTACATATTTCTGAAAAACCAATGGACCAGCAGTAACACACTTTCTGCAGGTGTGCATGTAAAAATGTAGAGAGCTATAAGCTCACTGCAAATAATTTTCTCCACATTCCTCACATTCCTCCGCTTTCTATGTTCCCTGCTGAACTGCACCAATCGAAAAAATAGGTGACAAGCTCTCAGAGCTTAGGCCAGGTTAGAAAGAGAACAAAATGTGGTAGTGACAGGACAGATTTGAGGACATAGACATATTCTTGCCAAATTTCTACTTTGTGTTAAGTTAAAGGAATCTCTTTGGGAATGTTCTCATTCAATTGCTGCATGATGAGAAAATTGGTACCACTCATACAGAACATAATGTAGGATAGCTGGTGGTGTCCGAAGCTGGGTAGCATTTCTAGGACAGAGCAAGGCTATATCTCCCCCCTTTTTCAGGTTTTAATGCTAAGCTAAGTTTACAGGTTCCAGCAACATATTGACAGTATAGCCGCCAGACTCATTAAACTCTGCTGATTAAGCGTATATTTCCAAAAAGGAATAACTATTGCTTTGAGTTCATATGAAATTCAACGCACTGCCTATGATGCAATTAAATAATAGTGAATGATAATTACAATTCTAAAGCCATTAGTAAATCTTTGATGAAGATGATCATTATATTTAAGTACGATGTTACCCCCCATTTGAGAAATGTGCAACCCTAGAAAGTTGTACAGCTTGGATTTTCAGCTAATTGAATTTCTACTTTTTGCTCGGCTGCTTCTTGGTCGCATCCTGTCCATCACTCATGTGATTATTTCCATTACACCTAACAAATGTCAGGCATTTCCCTCTGAACATGATCAATGGAGAACCGCAGCTGCACATAAAGCAGTGGTAATATTTCTCTCGTGTATGGAGGAGAGGTTGTGCCTAGTTCCACAGAGAAACCTATCATCTTTCATTAAGGCCTGCTCCTAGATCCAATCTGGCATCTGCTGCTCATTACCAACATGTGTTGGTACATCTAACTCAAATATGTGCTGAGGAATCTATTTCACACTGAAAAGATAATACAAAAACATCATTTTCTAACTTGGACTTTATAGTTCTAATAATACTAAAAACTTTGAAGAGGAAGATGGTAGATTTGAACATGGAATCAGATGATGTCTTGATCTTCCCCTCACCAGACAGAACATCATTGTTTGATGCATTTGATAAACAGCTCAAACTGCAGTTTCTGCACCTGACTGACAGCAGCACTGACTGGCTCACCTGAGGGCAATCTTTGATGTAGTGGCCTTTGTTGAAGCAAAGGTGGCACAGGTAGTTGGGCGGCGGCCTTTTGCTGGGTTTACGTGACTCCGGGGACAGGGAGAGGTCGGAGAAATGGTCCGCCAGAGAGCTCAGGCCGTCCACGATATTATTGAGGGACTCGTAGGGCGAGGAGCTCTTGTAGAAATTGTTGTTCAAGGCCTGCCAGAGAAAAAGAAGATCACTGTGGTGACTCTACAATGAAAGAGCATTTCAAGCAGCGTGTCAGTCCATCCCCCTGATTGATTCTCCTGTCTGTGCCTCTGACAGTAGCCAACTTTATTTCAATCCTGCAGATGTGCTGCCTTTACTGCATCTAAACTGTGGGCCAATAGTGTCCGTTTCCTTGTCAGAACAAAATGTCTTTGTCATGCGTTCTTTTGGCACAGCACAATCAGCATCATTGTGTCTCTAGAGGAGACGGGTGCTATGGCACCGCAGGGGCAAGCATGTAGAACAGCCTGCAGACACTAGCTTTTTGGCACCACAGAAAGATAATTGTGATCAGATGTACATTGCAGTGCTGTCCATGAGACATGAAACCTCTGCATGTCTGTGGCATGTGCGCACTGACATTTCTTTAGACTTGCTTATTTTAAAGTTAAACAGCAAATTATGACTTTTCATTCCAATTATTTACTTAAAACCTCCTTTTGATTCATCTCTATTTTCCATCTTTTGCTAAATGTGTTGGTATTAAATTAAACAGCACCAGCCCCCCCAGAGTGCACAGCATACTCCTCTGAGTGAGCAGAGGCCGGCCAGGGTGAACTGTAACATTTTAAAAAGCTTGTGAGAGGTCTTTCTCAACCTGCCATTCCCCCTGCAGCTGCACACTGACACCAGAACAGTCTGAACACACTCAGGCACTATACCAGGGTACAAAACGCATATTCATACTACCCACTCACCACAGTGCGACCCAATGGAGGCATGCAGGTGAGGTTTACTGGGCAACACAAATAACCTGGAGTGAAAAATGTGGGTAGAATATTCATCTTAGGAGAGAGCTTTTTGACATGCAGCAAAACAAAGATGATTAATGAGTGCATGGATTTTTTCAACAGAGCATGAATTATGTAGCCTATATATGCAAAGAGTTGATAATTAGCACGATATGAAATGACATGAATTCTACCTCACTCCTCAGCTGGAAGAAGTTGTTGAGATAGTTGGCGCTCAGATCAGCTGCGGTGCGCTTGGAGATGTTCATGTCCTGAGAAGAAGTGTCCGATTCGGCTTTGAACGCATCAAAAGTGCTGTTCTGAGTGTCTTGCAAAGACATGTAGACCCAGTTGAGCAGCTGCGCAGGTTGGTACACAGGGGCACCGGTCTCTATAGCAGACATCATTTTTGCTTTTTGGAGGACTGCACCTCTTGGAACAGGGCCGTCAGAACCACCGGATTTTCTGGGTCACACAACTTCTCTCAGTCATCCCCCTTGCTCCGGCTCTTAGACGTGCGATCCTTGTGTTCACCTGGGGAGCCCTGAAGGACCCCAGTAACCGGACAACTGTCACGGGGGAGAGCGCAGTGGAAGCATGAAGCGCAAAAGCGTGAATGCCAGTGGGAAGCGTCAGGCAGCACAGCAGCCAGGACTGTGGGTTGGGTCACAGCGGAGAGGAGGTCCATAAAGAGTTTGCATCTTTCTGCAACACTTTTTTTTATTAGTTATCCACAGTAGCCTACTGGGTAGCCTGTTTCTGAGGGGGACGATCATTGTATTGTAGAGCTAGGCCTATATGATCTCAAACTAAGCTTTATAATGGAAGGGGGAAATGTGTTATTTGTTTGAAACCCCTTTACTTTTTGGGTTATTTCATTACAGAACGTTGTACTTGTTGTCCTTTTTTAAGTTATGTCCTTTTTCCTGACACTTCTCTCTTTACAGTTTACAACTACCATCTATAATTTAAAAAGAAGTCATTTTTTTTATTAAATGAAGGACTTGCCTTTTGTAAAATAAGAAAATTCCTCACGTCATGGTCCTCAGGTAGGCTGACAATAAAACACATAAGGAACACTGACTTTCAGTTTTTTATTTTAAGGTAAACTTTTATTTGACTACAAGGACAAAATTATAATGCTGCAATGCACAACTTGAAAAGTAGACTGCTGCCATCTAGTGTTTATTTTTTTATACACAATTCAAATCATTAAACAATTGAGAACATGTAATGTATTCAGGGCAGGGCTGGCTTTTTCGTCATTTAAGTTTTTAGGCTCTTCAAAGACATAACGATTTCATATTTAAGTAGTAGGCTAAGTTCTAAGTAGCCTAATATAAATCAAAGTTGTTGTTGTTGTTTTGCAGGAAATACAATGGCCAAACTTTTTTCTTTACAATGTTCATATCAAATATGATATGGAAAAATCAAGTTTCACAATAGATTTGTTTTAAACTTAACTCAATTATCCACGGAAACAAATCCAATATTCGTCTTTTCATATGATCCAATGTCATCTGTCGTGAAAATGGCAATTTAGGCCCAAAGCTCGCTGACTCAACGCGAGGCTGTGGATAATAACAGAGTAAAGGTTATTACTGCAGGACGGAAACAATGCTGTGGACCCACCCACCTCCCCGGGACTTCAATTTCTCTCCACTGCTCTGCTGCGTGTCTCTTCCTCAATCTGAAGTCCGTGGCCGATAAGTAAGTAAATCTTTGTTATTGACTGTAAACACCCGCTAAATATCTGTACTGCACTGCGTTTCATGCGACAACGAAGTAGCCTACAACATTACTTGGATAGCGTTAAAGGCGTATGTGGATTACTGAGGAATGTAGGAAATTAGCCTCGCCTCACTAAGGCATCACAGTTGGTGTGGGGTTGCTCAACACCAGCTAACAACGTTTCTTCATAGTAAAAGTCTTAACATGGCGAACGGAAATGTTGTACTGTAGCTAACGTAGTATTTGTTTGCACCATGGATGTATAAAGAGAACCATGCTAAATAAAATGCAAAACGTTGTCTTGGAGTATCTTGTCACGCTAACGGACCGCAGGATACTCTTCGACATCAATGACGATGTTAGCGTGACGTTCAATGTTAAGTTAAATATCATTGCGTAGGCCTGTTATACTTTATTATTGACAGCAGCGGAAGTAACCTATTGTAAAATCTTAGCGTTGCAGAAGCTTTAGTTGGCGAATTTTGTAAATACAGGCCTTTGATAACATTGCTTTTTAATGGTGCTTTCCAGTGCTCGTAACAACAAGCAGGAAGTGTAACTACTGAATGGCCATACTGGTGCTTTAAGGTAGGCCTGTAGGTCCGTTTATAGGCTTACTGGAGTGTTATAATTGTAAACTTGAACAAAAGCAGCAATCTGGTCTCAACTAGTTCGCTGTATAAATCGAAAGTTTAAAACATGTAAACCACGTCGGGCATTGCAATTGCGTTTATTTCTAAAAATAAATAAATAAACGAACAAATATGTACTTTTTTAAATTTACGTTTAGTTATCAAATGCCGAACATTCTTATATCAATCATATCATTGCTCATACGTCACTCATACCATATATTTTCCATCCTTGGGGTCATACATATGTGGTGTGGTGGAAATTCTGATAATTACAAGAGCATTTGAAAGCATCACGCCATCAACGGTCAAAAGGAGAGGACTGGAAAGGGAGTGTCAACAAAAAACCGCCCTTCATGAAGTCACTACTTACAGTGTGATTATGTCAGCCTTAAAAACGATATGATGTATCTTTTGAATTCAGAATAATTACATCTGAACTTTTACCAGCACTACGTAACCGACATGTATTTTGCCTGTATTACTATAAACATGTCTTGTTTACAGAGGGAAAATGTTGAGTATTTGTAACATTTAATCATATTTACACAGTAATGAGAACTACTTTTAATAGTACATGAATGTTTTTTTTGACAACTGTTAATTACATTTTTGCCGATATTGGATTGATTTTATATTTGTTTTACTAAATTCAAAGAAAAGTTTGAAAAGAACGGGTCAATTTGGAGCAACACTAGCATTAGCTTTTTTCAGTCTGTTTTGATTGCTGAACACATTCTGTAGTTTTTATCCTCTTTTGACACTCCATCATCGCGCTCCACCCAATATGCTTCACAACATAAATCTATTTTAGTATACCGCAACAATAGAATTATGATCAGTAGAAATAGCCATGACATGGGACCTTTTTAAAACCGATATTTCTCTAGAAATTCCAAGAAAATCATGTGGTGTTTTTTTTAACGGGTGCTGCAGTCAAAAAGACTCACATAGCCCTCATACAACACATCGACATTGATGCATCATTATTTTTGTCACTTTCAGGATCGGAAGATGAGCTACCCAGGATACCCTCAGTCCGGTGGATACCCACCCCAAGCAGGGGGCTACCCACCACAAGCAGGGGGCTACCCGCCTCAACCAGGAGCATATCCACCCCAAGCAGGCGGTTACCCTCCAGCGGCAGGAGGCTACCCCCCAGCAGCGGGCGGCTACCCCCCACAGGCAGGAGGATACCCACCCCAAGCAGGCGGTTACCCTCCCGCAGCAGGTGGCTACCCCCCACAGGCAGGAGGATACCCACCTCAGGCTGGTGGTTACCCCCAAGCAGCAGGTGGATACCCTCCAGCAGCAGGGGGCTACCCTCCCCAGGCCGGGGGTTACCCTGCCCAGGCCGGGGGCTACCCTGCCCAGGCTGGAGGATACCAACCACCACCCCAAGCAGGAGGCTATCCTTCCATGCCTCCATCAGGTTCGCCTCCAAGATATTTTTGAATGTTGAGAACTTACATGAAGTATTTCTCTCCTCACATAAATATGTCTATATGGCTGAAATAAATAATATCAAGGCCATCTATTAGTTAAAAAAAAATCACAAATGCAACACTCCTATTATATGCAGTCAGAATTGTCCTTTAAGTAAATCGTTTTTTGATTTTATGTCAATATTTTCCTTGCAGGTGGAGGCTGGGGTGCAGCACCAGGCGGCCATGGAGCGGTATATACATTCCTATCTCACTCTTTACCTCTGACCGGCCATATTACTAATAACATATGGACTGACTTCAGCTAAATCTTCTGTTTGCTCAAATCACCTTATCTCCTACTTAAACCCTATTTGCTATATAGAGTTTGTAACCAAGCACCTAACACTTAACACTAACAGTTGTCCTCTGTTTGCAGCCGGGAGGGGCTCAGCAGGGATATCCAGGGGGCCCGGCTCCGGGCCAGCCCATGCCAAATTACCCAGGAGCCCCTGCGACTAACCCCTCAATGCCTGGATATGGAAGTGGAGCTCCGTCCCAACCTCATGCACCTGCCATTTCTGTAAGATGCCTTTGTTGTCACCGTAGGACTTCTCTAAAACTATGTTCCAATGCACATACAGGCAGATACTGTGCAGTATCTTATATGTTTCTTATCTTTTTTTAATTTTATAAATAGAAAGGATACAGGGGTTCTTTAAAAGACTTTAAAGGGGCTGATCCACTGAGGGATGTTGAGGTTCTCCGGAAAGCTATGAAGGGCTTTGGTAAGTAAATGGGGTTTATTTGGATATGCTAAACCCAACATGGTTATTTTTCCCTCGACATGAATTGATCCTGAATAATGTTTTTAACAGGCACTGATGAAAGCGCCATCCTTGAACTTCTGGGAAGTCGTACCAGCAAGCAGAGGGTTCCAATGGTAGCAGCCTATAAAACAACTTATGGGAAGGTACGTTTTCTAACATTTAAGATTTTTTTAATTGAAATGAATCACTTTAATCTGTTCCTTCTCATTGACCCTGTAACTCTGTCTAAACCGAACCCTGCTCTTACGGGATTTTCTTTTTCTTAGGATCTTCTCCACGATCTGAAGTCTGAGCTCACTGGAAACTTTGAGAAGCTGGTTCTCGCTATGGTGAAGAGTCCGAACCGCTTTGATGCAACTGAACTCAGGGAGGCAATACAGGTTGGAAACTCAAGTTATTTTCTTAGCAGATCCTCCATTTTGTTTGTGTTGTGAGAGAAGGAGAGGAGAATTAAAGCAAACAAATCCTCTGAATGCAAGTGAATATCAGAGAAGTTGAAACATGAGTCTGATAACCACTAAATGTTCAAACTCTCTAAAGCAGGTTGTGTTTTCATGTCTTACTGAGGCTTTTCTATATTTTGACAGGGCGCAGGAACTGATGAGTCTTGTCTGATTGAGATCCTTTCTTCACGCTCCAATTCAGATATTCTTGAAATCAACCAAATTTACAAAGCTGGTGAGTTTATATTCTTGATTTATAAACGTTGTATTGTATGTTCATGATATTCAAACTGTGAACAGCAACTTACACATTAAGAATGTTTAGCTAGTGCCTCCTTTCTTTATTCAATACAAAAACATCGCTGTACTCATAGACTCCACCCACCAGTATTGATCACACACCTACTCACCCGCCCACCCTCTACTTCAGCTGCTACAAAACAAGTACACACAGAAACAAGACACCACTAGATCTACAAAACTACAAACTAAAAGAAGCCCATTAGAAAATATCAACAGGTTATTTACAAAAATGCTTAGCCAACTAACATGAGTTAACACAGAACATTAAAAGGAATGCTTATGATCTCTTTATGGCGTCATCAATTATACATTTATATATATAGATTTAAAATTAGGATGCATCAAAGACAAAAAATATGTAAAGAATTTGACTCAATTTGAGGTATACAGATATCTATCATATTAATTTCTTATTCCTATTCTCTAATCTTTATTTAAAATACAACACAGGCCCTTAATACGTCAATTGTTGAACTACTTAAAGTTTTTTTGTATTTATTTATTTGAAAATCAGTTTAAAAATGATATGAAATATTAGAAGGCATGTTAAAAATGTTTATTTTTATTTTAGCCTGTACGATTACCCTTCTATTTGTACATGAAACATTATTTAAAGAAGTAGGGTCTCACTGAAATGCAAATATTATGCAAATGTAAATGTATTTCCCTAAAAAGCCACACCTTCCTTCCAGAGTACGGGAAGAAACTGGAGGACGCCATCATCAGCGACACCTCCGGTCATTTCCGCAGACTCCTGGTTTCTCTCTGTCAGGTAGTTTCTTCATGCTTTACACCTCATTCATTTTAAGCTCTCTCAAAATGGATTTGAAACTTTGAGTGTTGATACCAACAATGTATTCCTCCTTCGCAATGTACTTTTAACACAACATGCCATACTCTAACTAGGGCAATCGTGACGAGAGGGAGACTGTTGATGTCAACTTGGCCAAACAGGATGCTCAGGTACCGGTTTTCAGTTGGTTTGTGCTTCTTACATTTATGGAGAGTAATTAGCAAGTCCGATCTTGTTTCTTTTTTATTTATGTGTGTCTGTGTTGTGGACAGAAACTGTATGCTGCAGGGGAAAATAAAGTTGGAACTGATGAGTCTCAGTTTAATGCCATCCTGTGCGCTCGCAGTAAGAGTCACCTTAGAGCAGGTAAGTCATTTACTGTCTTTTTTGAGCATATCCATATGACTGATGTTTTTCCAGTGCCATAAACACACATTTTGACCTTTTTTAATACCTTTTTTACATATGTTTTTTAAAATATTATGACTAACTGTCACGCCTGTGATTCTGGTTTTTATTAGTCTTCCACGAGTACCAGCAGATGTCTGGGAGAGACATCGAGAAAAGCGTCTGCAGAGAAATGTCTGGCAATGTGGAGTCTGGCATGGTGGCTGTGGGTACGTTCTTTGGGTCTCTTTTTCCAAACTGAAGTAGCTTTCCAAACCTGTTGAAGCTTTAAGTATATGTTGAAGGCATTCGTCAAGATGTTTGTTTAGAAGGGCTTTCCTGATACAAATATCTTGCTGGTGCAAACAGGCGCCTGTTTGACCTAGATACCTTATTAATACTTGATGATGATCAAAAGCAAACTCTCTAAAAATAGAACATGTTTATAGCTGCATCAGAAAACACTTATTGATAGACAATCGATTTGGGGTGTTTGTAAAGAGCACAGGGTCAGATTGATAACTGTAGAGTTACAGCCATTTTACTAAGCATTTTAGTTATTTAATTTAGGCACAATTATTTGGCACCCAATTACAGGAAACAAATAATATCTTCAAAGGGATTTTGAGCTTTGTCCAAATATGCTATGTCTTAAATGTCGTGTGGATTAGATGAAGAAGTGCACAGAATTGTTTTGCACATAGAAAATGCAAATGTGGAATTAGTTTTTCTGTTTGTGCTGTTATTTATTATTAAAAAAAAAGTGGCAGAGAAAAAAAACCTGTTGGCAGTGGTAATAACATAAAACAGATAAATAAAGATACAGCCACCTTTCTTATTATAGTGTAGTTAGGATTTAGCTGCATTACATGTGAATGTTATAATGCTGTAAGCCTCAAGCAATCTGCTTCTTTACAATGTCTTGTATGTATTTCCCTTTGTAAAACAATAGTGCAACATTTTATACAGATTTATCCAAGACTCATTTGTTTACATCTTCTCCTTTTTCCTAGTGAAATGCATCAGGAACACCCCTGCCTACTTTGCAGAAAGGCTTCACAAGGCCATGCAGGTAAAGCTGTTTTCTATAATCTCATTTTATTCTTATAATCACAAACCAACCGACTCTTGCAGTGACACTGTTGTTGGTAATATTCTACTGATACAGTAAATGGAAGTGTCACACTGTGATGTGTTAACAGGGAGCAGGGACCAAGGACACAACCCTGATCCGTATCATGGTGTCTCGCTCTGAGATTGACATGTTGGACATCAGACAGGAGTATGTGAGGACTTATGGAAAATCCCTGTACACCCACATCTCAGTAAGTCCTACAAACCAACTTATTTAGACAAAACACAGCAACACCTTTTCCTTTTCATAATGTCTGATCATTTAAAATTCATACTTCCTTTGTTTCGTTTCTCAGGGTGATACCTCCGGCGATTACCAGAAGCTGCTGCTGAAGCTGTGTGGAGGCACGGACTAAAGGAAATGAAGATAAGCCTTCATAGGGACAAAATAAATGTCCCCAGTGAAACAATGTTATAGGAGCTTATATCACCTCTGATGCATGCAGTCAATCAATATTAGTTTTGTATTCTCTTCAGTGGCATGATTTTCTTTTTTCTACAGTATTGTAGTATAAGATTGCCAAATAGTCTTTTTTTTTTTTATAAAGACACCGTAGATAGCTTTGACATTTTTGGGTTGAAGCCCTAAATAAAAAGTGGGTGCCGGAAAATCACACAGTAGAAATGAAATATATCATAGTTTTTCAATTGTCCATTAAACAGCTTGACTGGTTTTATTAGAGAAAGGAAAAATATATTTTCAGAAAATCTAAAGATACAGAATGAGGCAAATGTCTGGTTTATTTAACAAAGTACATATACAAGAATTATCAAAGCCATTCATTTATACATGCATTGATTCTTTGTAACTATGGTAAAAATTACCTCACGCCAATCATTTCAACTGTGTACAAGTTTATATATACCAGGTTGTCGGAGACTATTATACAAGATTGATCAAATAATGTATGACTGAATCTCACACGAAGTAGATATAATCATTTAATGCTTATTCGACAAGCCAAAATTAAATTCTGGCTTATTTTATGTAATGTAAGAAATAACAATCTGCATTCTTATTTGTTCTCTATACTGCTGCTTGCAAGTCTATGCAATTCAGCTTTTGAATTTATATCTTCTATATCGGCTTTACAAAACTCTTCTGTAAACGTAAACCTTTCCAAACATTATTAAACATTTAAAGACAAGGTTTCCTTTTTCCTGAATGCTGAAAAGCCAAAGCCTAAAGACAGATCCTGTTGTGCCTTTTGTCAGGGCTGCCGTATAAACTTCAGTTTGTCGATGTTTAACTGTGGTTAATCTTAATTAAAAAAAATCTATAATCATCCTTGCACGACTGCAGAAATGCCATACTTACATTACTCAATGGTCAATGTTTTGTATACTTTTTTCAGTGTCCTTTACAGGTTTGTATGTTTTACTACCAGTAGAGGGCTCTTGATTCACATGAAATGTCATTTTTGTTTGTTTGGCTTGAACTGAATATCTGTTGCACTAACGATACTCTGCAATGATCGCTGTTACATGTTAATGGTATAAATTGAATGGATGCTATGTACGTTTTCCAACATTTTAGTCCCAGACTATTGAGACTTTAAACGCTTTTCATTTAATTAAAAAAAGCATAATAACATTTTGGCATATCTGGATTTTCTTTGTGAAATGGAATCATGTGTTTTGCATCAAACATTGACTGTGGATGTTTTGCTCTGAGCCGACGCACAATGAGACATTTGCATTTCAAAGACAACCTCATTTTAACCACCTTGGTCTGTACGTGTGAGGCGCCCCCCATCCTCAGAGCATCACAAGCTGCACGTTTTGTAAAAGGTGCGAGTAATGTGGCTTACATAAGTGAAGTCTCTGTGCGTGTGCCTTGCTGTTTAATCTGAGAGGGGGAGAACATGCCCAGGTTTGCTTTGCAGCACAAGTGATATGGCACAAAGAGCTTTTCTCAGGGCTATAAATAGGGTCCATATTGAAGACACGGATGCCTAAAGTCTTCTTTCTGGTTTGCTTGCTTGCCTCAAAGTGCAGCCTCAGAGGGGTTGTAGACAAATGACCTCACCAAGCCTCACTTCTTCTACACCTTTCTCATTGAGCTACTTCTCACACACTCAAAATGAAAAGCCCACACCAGAACAAAGGGATGAATATTTGATGTTTGTGTATTTTCTCTCTAGCCCAGACTGTGTGCCGTGATACCTACTGAAATATATAGGTCAAGAGGAAATCAAATCAGTGGGGCCTCCCATTTGGCTTTCACTTTTAGAGACAAAACAGAACACTTTCCTGATCCTTGATTTTTAGAAAAAGTGCTTTAATTATTTACATGTGGACTTGATGCAACCTTTCTGGGACTTGATCACACTTGGATACACACGCATGCGAGGGATGCATGCATATGTTTTATTGGAGATCTCAGATGTGCGTATGGGAGTCGTGTCTGTCTACATCATTGATGGGAGCTGTGAAGGTCAGCCTTTGAATTAGCCTTCACACTTCTGGAGCTTTCTCTTACTTTTGGTAGGACTTTTTGGGTGACTAAATGAATGATGAAATAGTTTTTTTAACACTTGGATACCATATTGTATGGAAATATACAATTCTTGTTTGATATGGTAATTTTGTAGAAAACTCCTATACAAGAATGAACATGAAATACCTAAAGGAAGTATCTCGTCAACTATTTCACAGATGGATTCAACCGTAATCTGAATTAAAAAAAATCCAATTTTATTGAGATTAGTCCATGTTTTACCTTAATGCACTTCACCATCACTGGCTTCTAATGTTAATACTGTTTCATAGACAATCAGTATAAGTAAGCCTTGACTAAATTGTTGATTTGCAGTGGATTTTTCTTTCTGCAGTTGGGGGACATTTGGTTGCCAGGGACATAATCCTGCTTTAAACTTCATGAGTGCATATAAACAAATTACAAAACCAAAGGATTAGATGAACAACACATAATGAGATGCAGCAGCAGATATCAGTAGCAGCCTGCAGAGCTACAGCATACTCAGCTTGAGGTTCATCCTCCAATATTTGATCAAATATGCCTTAACAACCTGAACAACCGGCTGCTTTTAATAGTGTTTGCAGTCAGTTAAAAACAAAAGCAGCACACTTTCTGTCAAAAGTAACTTACTACCCTATAAATGACTTCCACTTATGTGTTTTCATTGCATGAGGTTTTAAGAGTGTAAGAGCCTCTGATTTCAATCCAATGTGAGTGTTTCAGGAGTTAACATAATTCCTAAAGATAGCACCTAGTTTTCTTGGTGAGCAAATGGATTTCCCATGCTGAAAAATAAATAATTTGAGTTTTTACGTAACCACTTACATTGTGAAAGCTGTGCTAAACTTAAGTGGGGAAATGTATAGGCACACTGTGTACCGTATTAAGCTTTAAAGCCAGACCCGGTGTGCTCTAGCTAGCTCCAGATGAGTCACAATCCTCATAAAGGCAATACACCGAATCCCCTCAATAATAAAGACCACAGTCAGCAATTATGGTGAACAAGCTCTAATTATAGCTCCACTTTCAGCATTTCTGCAGTTCAGCTGTCTGTACTGAGACTAGATAAACACATATAGATAATCTGATACGTGACTTCATTGTCTGCTTTTAGAGCATTTCAGTCTTAAGGATATCAGTCTTAAGGGACGTCGGCCTCCTTAGAGATCTGATGGATTATGTGGAGCAGAAGAAAGCTCACAGAGCGAGGCAGATGTGTCAGGGGAAAATCCAGATGAGGAACAGGCAACTATACTTACGCATCAGGAGCCATACAATATTCTTGAGATAAAAAAAGCTGTCGGATTTCGCTTTCATTAAGAGCATATTCAGAGCCATATAATTCATGTGTTGTGTCAATAACACGATTCACTGAATATTTTGATGTCATATAAGCGCAAATTTCCTCTCATATAATCACCAACTGACAGAAAACACAGAAATTGAAGAACAGTTTTGCTGTTGTGTTTTTGAGAGCAGTGTTTCTCAATCATTTTGACATGTGAACCCCTCAGTAGAGATTATGGCCTTAGTGTTGCATGAATTGTGATAAGTTTAACTAAACTGACATGTTTTCTGCTTGAAATTGAGAGTTGTAAGAAGTAATGAGGGAATAGGCATTCAAACTTTTTTTACTTAATTTTGTGTTCAATACTTTTCTAATAATCTTTTTTCTGGCTCTTGTGGTTGATGTGCTGTAAAGGCCAGTTGTGTTGGGGATGTTTTTGTGTGAAGTCAATATCAGTATTTCTGACAGTTGAATGTACACATCATTTAAAATACTTTATAAAAAGACTCTGAACACAGTAGTGAAATCATCCAAATGCATACTCAAGTACTTCAATACTACACTTTTACTCCACACAAGTTTATAGGGAAACATGGTACTTTTTACTCCACTGCATTTAATGACTTTACAGATTCATATTTTAATACAAAACCATATATGATTAGATTATTTTAGCATATTATATTATTTTATGGCTTTATTATTTTTGAATATTGAATATCAAATAGTTAAAATGTGCTTCACCTAGCCCAAGTACAACATTACAATTTGACTTACAAAAACATATCAGTAACATAAAATCCATTTATAATAAAATAAAGCAAAAATAATAAAAAGTTTGCACAATATTAGATGTTCACAGTGGTTAAAGACACTCTTTTAGTAATAAATACTAATACCACCGTGTATGAATATTTAGTTTTAAGTAAAAGCCCTGCATTTAAAACATTGCTTGAATATCAAAAGTATAACCATTAAAATATAAATTACCAACAAGAAAAACGTACTTATTATGCAAAATGACCTATTTCAAAATAATATATCAAAAATATATATTATAATTAATGCATTAAAGTCTGCATCAATTTCATTTTGCAGCTGCTAAATAATTGTTTTACTACAATGCTAGGACACTTAAACTATAATAATATAATAATGTATACATTGATTCATATTTTGTATAAATAATCCTAATCTCCATAGTTACTCAACCTATGTGTGTACAAATGTGCCATAAGGGTAATGCTATCAAACATTTTTGGAAAAAGTACAATATTTCCCCCCTGAAATGTTGTGGAGTAGGCTAGAACATAAAGCAACATAGTAAAACAAAGGAATTACTAAACCAAAATACAAGCACCAACATTTTTTTCTAAAATACAGAACTTTTAAACTAAATTATCTCTGCGCCAAAGTGGTGTATTTTATATGGTTTTAAGCGACATGGAACCAGGTGCGTCTAAAACAAGCCCCGCCTACTTTACCTTAAATGTCCATTGCACGGAAATATGATTGGCACAGCGCTACAGCTGCTTGAACGGTGAGACATGGCGGAGTTTGTTGCCTAACACACAGAGAGCGAGGGCTCTTAGGGAGTTTTAAACACTTTCCAACATGTCGAAATAACTTGTTTTCAGGACTACAATGTCTTCGAAACGTGTGCGGAGTGGAGCTTAAAGAGGCAGAGCCGTCTTTTTTGTCGGGAAGGACGGAGCGGCGGTAGGGAAAATGTGTTGTCATTTTCGTGCAGTCAACAGCCTTGGGCAACAAATATGGCTACTTCTTGTGTATCCTTCAATTCGGGTTGAAAACCGTCCCTACTGGGCCGAACGGGATAGTTTCGGGGAGTTACGACAGTAGCACTAAGTGAAGTTGACTAGGCATTAGAAACGTAAAGAAGCTGGATTTGTCCCGAAGCTGATTTCGCTGGTTAAACCGACGCGGAGCTAAACAGAGATGGAGCCCAAGCATAAAGAGTTGTTGGAGAAATGTTACCAGAACTTGGTGGAGTCGATAACAGATGCGGACCGAGTTGTGGATGTTTTGGCTCACTGCGGGACCCTCAGCCAGTCTGAACGCTACGAGCTGGGACACAACTGCTCCTCCAACGCGGAAAAAGTGGACCTTCTCCTGAAGATACTGATAAGTAAGGAGAGAGACCATTTCGCAGAGTTTTGCACGGCCCTGGAGAAGACGCACCCTCACCTGCACTCGGTGCTGCTCAATGGCTCCGGACCAGTGGATCACACAACTGGTAAGAAGCTATGTATGTGGTGCATAACAATGAAGCAGTGCGTTGTCATGCTGAAAAGTAAATGATATAATGGATGCATGCACGCTATGCTTGTATATTGTGTTTTTATGGTGTGTCAAAGGGAATTGTGTCTTGTACATTTTGGTTAGGATCCAACCTGGTTTCGATCCTGCTCTGGGTATGATCTAACCGACATTAGGAGTATTGACCATATGACAACTTGATGAAGGGCAGGACTTTTCCTTTGGGCAAGAATACAGAGTGAGGGAGAGAGAGGGCTTCACAATCATGTGACCTGATGCTTATTTACACTCACACTACTGTGCTTGTTTCCCTTTTCCATGTCACTAAAAGCACAGCCTGCCAGCTCTTTGTGAAATAATTTAATGGACCTGAAAAGACTCAAACAATCAATGTAGTGACTGCATGGCTGCCTGAAGTTATGTATGTGTGTGTGTGTGTGTGTCTGAATCAATAATCAACTGTCAAAGTCAAATGAATGAGTGAATGATATGTGTGTTAATGCAAACAGTCACTTACTTAGAGTGAAATTTATAAAGTAGGCTATTGAATTTTTCATTTGTGTCTTAGTACAAAACCAAGCACAGTTATTTTCCTTATCTTTGCCCAGCATTATCTATTACTGTTTTGTTTTATATTGAACAATGCCCATCCCACATCTTCTTCTAAATGCTTTTCAGGCTGCAGCAAATTATTTTTATTAACTGATACACTGCTGTATCGTTTGCTCTACTAAATGTAAACAAATAGTGATCACTTTTCCCTCAAAAAATTAGTTTCTTTTTAATTTTCTATATTTGTATTGATAATTTGTAATCTGTACTTTTGATAACTGGAAACGGTTTTGCATTTATTTCGCTCAATAATCAATTTAAACTATGTGGATCAGCTGTTCGATTAGCCATATTCCTATAGTATACAGTAAGCACTTTATGTAGTAAATCATGTTCAGAATAACCTCTTTTAATAATTTTTTTTAAAAATGGGGACATCCAACAATTTCATAGTCTGCTGAGTTTCCACTTTTGTGGGTGCACCATCAATTATAGAAACGGATATATTACACATTAACATCAGATTGAATGGTCTAACATACCACACATTCCACCTACAAAGCTCATTATTACCCTCATCTAATCTACTCCAATTTAGCTATTTACTTCATTTTCGCTTTTTTTTTTTTCTTTGCACGAGGAAATTTTTCAGATGATGCATTTCTCAGTCTCTTTCTGTGATATACAGTCAGAGTTATGAGTGGATTTCCTGCTGTTCGCTCAGAAAAATACAACATTCGCTACTCTGTTATGAGCACGTCTAAAAATATATATTGTCTTCCTCCATTTTTCATCAAATTCAGTGTAAGACAATTTGGATGTATGTGCCAGAATGTATGTATATATGCTATAATGCAAGTGCATGCTACTTGCTCTACACCTCTACCTTTTGCATTTCAAAGGAAATATTTGCATGAGCTACTTTGTTCGCTTTCAGCTATCATGTAATACTCAGTGTGCTGATTGAGGTTTTAATTATGCATTTATTCTGTCCTCATTATTTATAAGAGTAAGAACGCTGCAGAGTGAGTCTATTTATCTAAGCTGTTTCATTTTTGCGCCACATTTTACAATTGTGCACTAAGGTTTAAAACTGAGTACTGATGCCGCAGTAGAGGGTTGTAAACCAACATGTTTAGTGCTCGTCTTCCTCGTCTGCAGTTCCCTGTTGATAGTCACACAGGACACAAATGGGCTGAGCTGCTTTTTGCTACTGGGCAGACAGGTTCCTCCACTGCTCAGGCTACAGAAGGGCCTTCCCAAGGAGAGCTGTAGCTTGTTACAGGCTATGCTTTTAAATAATGTGCATCGTCAGCAGCCTGATCTCCCCAGACGCCTAGAGTCCCAGAGGGCGAGAGAACTAGATCATCGAAATCAAAACAATGTTAATGAGTGAGAGCTGCATCATTTAACCCCAGCAGGTGAAATCCAAATGTTTATAACAGAGGTGCTACCTGTACCTGTAGCCATCGAAAGACCACCTGGCTGCAACATTTTCCCTGTGATGTGAATGCAATGCACATGAATTGGGTTTTTTTTGTTTTGTTAATAGTATGTTTACATAACCATAGCTTCAGGGCTTGACATACGAGGTCTTTTGTTTACAGCATGTTCAAACCTTTTCTTGAAGAACAATAACCTGATTGCAGTAAATTGCAAGGGTGTGTATCGTGGGTGACGTGTTCGCTTGGCTGTGCTGCAATACTGGAGTTCAAATGTCTTTTATATAGAAAACAAGAGATGGGTTATGTTGTTAAAGGAAATCTAAACTCTTTGATAGATAATGCTAGTTGAGAAGTCAGACGGTAACCAAATGTCTGAAAGTGTACATGCATGACATGAGTTTAACACGGTAAAGTTGTAAAAGCACATTAATGATCGCTGACCTCTGGGCACCCAGGTAGTTCACATGGTAAAGCAGGCACCCTGTAAACTAAGGCTGAGACCTTTCAAATGCTTCCTGGGAACATTGTCCACTCTCTTTCTTCCTTTCTCTCTATCTAATAAAGGCAAAAGGGCCTTAGAGAAAAATCATTAGTTTGCACGCTTTACTTGGTCATATCTTCTGCAGATGAACATTAACAAGTTTAGATATAAAAAAAAATACAGATCCAAATACTTTTTAAATGGTCAGCGCCCACGAGATAAAGGGGCAATATATAAGAAAATGTTACTTATTACTTGTATAAAAAGTGTATTTCTTTAGGTTTTTAAACCCAAAACATTTTAACTTACTGTAGAGTTTTAGACCCGAGTAAAAACATGCATTTATTTTCATGGAAAACGCACCGTAATTTCGTTTTTTTCAAATTCATTATCACTCTGAGTTCTAAATGTGATTTTTATGAGTCAGCACTCACTGTTTGTGCTCAAGTTTTCAGCCTTGCAAGATTTTCTTTTTCGTGGGTCAGAATATATATAACATTTGCTGTGACTTCAGAAAAGAGATCAACCTAAATAAGATCCTTGAGTGGCGAGGGTCAGACCACAGCGAGGTCCATGTCACATGACTTCCACACGGGCAGAAAAGTGAGTGAGTGAGTTATGACACAGTGAACCTTGCCCATTGAGACAGTCTCTGCTCAAACAGAGTCATGGGAAACTTAAGCTAGAGCGAGAACAAAGAGAGCTTGATCCATGGGATGCCACGGTTCCTGAGGCACATCAGTCTTCTTCGTTTTTTTCTTTCAGTCCTTTGCTGGGAAAAAGAGGGGTGAGCCATGTTAGCTGGGCTCCTTCCAGTCTTAATCAAACTCATAGTGTCCTTTAGCTAGTGGGAACTTGCCAGCCAGGGATTGATTTAGAGTACTGGGACGTGGGTAAATAGAAGCGTTTGTCATGCTAGCACTCCCGAGTCGAGCACTAGACTTTACATCGGGGGCTGGAGTTGCTGGTTTAACTAAACTATAAGCTCTTCATCCCACAGCCAAGTTACATCTCAGTAAATGTGCACTGCTGTTTGTTCAAAGCTTGAACAGTATGTTAAATATTTCGAGCATCTTATAAATCCAGTTTTCTTTTTTTCTGACTAAGTGTTAACAGTTGGGAGAAGTGTTGAAACGACTCAACAAGGGACACACAGATAGACTACACATTTGAAAATCCTTTTTAATTGTTTAATTCAGTCAAACATTCTCGTTCATCCCGTTCAAATTTGAGGATTTGCTGTTTTTTCTCTTTTATAGGACAAACTTTACTTTGAGCTCTTGTAATTTGTGATGGATATATTGTAATGTTTGCTTACATGTAGCCTATAGATTTATAGATGTGTATGTAGTTAACATTTTTTTGCCCGACCAATATTGGATTTTTGAGTCAGATATCGATATCAGAGACTTTACTATATACATCTGATAACGATACTTCTGTCAGTTTTCTATTTACATTTCGTTTTTTACAATAACAGTTAACATTTTCCTTTAGGGTTTCTTTAAAAATGTTTAAGAAATATGACTGATATTGTCCTGAGTGCAATCGGAATGATCTAAAGTATTCTTCTCCATAATACACAATACATAGTGTTGTACTGAGACGTCCTCTCCGTACAGTTAATTATGAATCACTGTAGGCTATAAAAGAAGGGGCTTTCACAGGGGGGGGGGGACTGTGTGATGTTGTCAGTGGAGATAAAAGGAGAAGCTCTGAGGCTGCAGCCTCTTTGGGGCCCGGGCTAGTCAGTATTCAAGCTCCCTGCCCAACTGATAATTAGCCACACTCTGCTGTCAGCCCCCGGGCCCGTCATCCCAAGTTGGGGAAAGTCCCACCTTATTATGTCTCCAGCCGGCCTTTTTTCAGGAAAGGCCCCTAAATGTAACCCAAGCTCCACGGCCTTGATGTACCATACAATGCTGGAGATAATAATCTGACTATAATGCAGACATGGTCGAGTACACTCACAAGTGACTTTAATGTTTTGTTCTCCTCGCAGGGTCCACTTACAGCATCCTGTCCACCATGCCGTCGGACTCAGAAAGCAGCAGCTCTCTCAGCAGCTTAGGTGAGTGTGGTGCTTGTGCTGGGGTTCGGCTGGAGAAATGGCAAAAATAAAAGCATTATCTTCCTGGAAAGAGAGAAACATGTAGGCTCTATGGTTTCTCAGAAAAATATTTGTCAAGTAATAGTCTTTGGTTGCTGCCTGTTTAGACTCTGAGCGCATGCAAGTGATTACACAGATGTGAGAAGGATTTAGAAAACCTCCACCCCCTAAACACACGTGCACAAACACACTCACACACACAGGCCTGTTTCATTCTCTGAAGGAAAGAGGATTTGACTGTTCAATGCCACCAGAAGGGAAACAGAGCTCTTATCTTTTATCATTTGGGGCTTTGTTCTGCAATATATTCACATACTGAGGTTAACAAGTACAACAATGAGGTGGATACATATGAAACTGACTGCAAACATGTGAGAAATGTTATGGACGTAATACAGTGGGATTAATATGGTTTCTTGTAAGGACGTGCACACAATTGTTTAAATAGCTGCGGTAAAAAGCTCTTCCTTGTGATTGGTTAATATTTAGACCAAGTTAGTTCAGTCTGAGACTATTGAGCCATTCAACTAGTCTTTCTTCCTCGTTTCGTTTTCAGTTAAAAGATTAGAAAGGGAAAGCAGACTAGAGTTTTTTTGAAAGCAGACATCAGTTGTACACTTTTCATTCAGCCTCTTATTTTACTCGTATGTTGAGGTTAAAAGTGGGGTAGGTCATTTTGGAGAAACCAGCTCGAGTGCGATAGAATTTGAAAATACACAGCCGGAAAAAATCTGCCACTTCCTTGCAGAGCCCCTCCTCCAACACACACAAACGCGCACATGACCAATGAGGGCACGAGATAAGTTTGTGCACAGATGGAAGGCTGACAGGCAGGTAGGCCATCCAATCATTTTAGCCCAGCCGGCTAAAATGATTGGTCGTACTTTTTACTACGGCTTCCACAGATGACATTTTGTTTTTGGATTTTTTTTGTCAAAGCACTTAAAATATTCATTGCTATTGGAATGTTAAGAGCATTCCATGGAATATAACAAAAAGTGTATCTCGAGCCGGTTTCTCAAACGTACCTACCCCAACTTTAAGTCCTCATTTACAATAAAGCAAAGTTGGCTTTTAAAAGAATTGGATGGAGCTGCACTAATGCCCCCATCGTTTGAGCTTTGTGAACGGCCCATGCCTCCAGTGACATGCTGACTCCCGCAGGTACTCCCGGTCCAGCCTCCTCCCCTCCGCCCGCTCACATGGACAGCCACCAGGTGAACGAGAAGATGGAGACGGTTCTGTTCCAGCTCAGACATGTGACCCGCGAGAGGGACGAACTGCGTAAACGTCTGGCGCTCTCTTCACCTGGAACCACCTTCGATGACTGCAGGTACTGTTCTGATCTCATGCACTTTACTGCCTGTTTTCCAAAACAAACATTTACAGAAAGCGCAGTGATCATGCGTAGGCACTCCATGAATAGAGGCATTTTGCTTTGTGCTTTTTAAAACGTTGACAAAAACAAGTAAAGTTGAACAAAAGGCTCAATTCTGTCAAACAAGGGGTGATCATACCATTTGAATGCTACCTCTCTTCCCTTGTGTTTTCACCAGCACAAGGTTCTGAAGTTTTTTATCTCACTCACGCTTCTCTCACCCTCTCATGCAACGTTTTAAATCTAGATTTGAATCCATCACAATGTTGTCCCCCTTTTCCCTCTTGGTGGGATAGACCAAACTCAAAAGCAGGTCATGACTACGAGCGGCTGAAGCTGCAGTGCATGAAAGCAATGGCGGACCTGCAGTCCCTTCAGAACCAGCACAGCACCACCCTGAAGAGGTGCGAGGAGGCTGTGAAGAAAGCCGACTTCTACCAGTGAGTGGAAAGCTCTGCTACACGGCCTTTGTTTGTAAATGTTTTAACAGCCGGAGCGTTTGTGCTGTATGCATTTGCGCTCAGCCTGCAGGGTTTAGCTGGTATTCATTCCTTCACAGCAGATTGCATTGAGCAGATTTTACTTTTGCGAAAGTAATAGGGATGAAGCCTTTATACCACTCCAAAAGCTGATAAGTTAAGCCTTGAAAAATCCTTGCAGCCTTTCATCAAACAAATTTCATCTTTATGATTTGTTTTAGAAAAAGACTGTTTTTATTGTCTTCTTAGCAGCATAAATCTTGAGTCTTGAGTAGAGCCTAAACGACCTCTCTATAAATACTGCCCTCCTTGAAGAGCTCATGCCAAAGCATGCTCTGTAATCATCATCTGAACCCTGTGTGAGCGGCACGGCATCTGTGCCATGAGGATAATACTGCGGACACAGCATTTGTTGTCCCATGAAATAAGCTGTGAAGGGGAGACTGGTCCATTTGTATGATTTAACGGAGCCATACTGTCCCCAAAGTGTAGGAAGCTGACATCTGTCCCCAAATGCAAACAGCCAGATGAAGGATTATTGCCATCTTTAAGCCTCTCCTTCTGGACCCTGTTTGCACACCAGAGACACTCTTTATTTATTGCTGTCCCGTATGCCTCTGCACTTCTCCTTTCACACGAAAACACATGCCCTGTGAATTGGAAATCACATTAATGCCCAACCAGTGCATTGTACTAAGATCAATATGTCATTTAACACGAAGAAGACTACCATAATCTCTCAGGACTTTATTGGTCATCTGTATTGCTTCTGAGCTGATATTCCTGTTCATATTGGCAAAAACTTAATAAGCATATCTGAAGTGGCAAGACCTGAAAAGAAGAGTCTTGAGTATGAGTGAATATCTAAAAGGTTGTTGGCATGGACTAGAGTAGAACACATAAAAACAATAAGCAATATGCACTGAACAGGGGAAATAGTTTCCATTTACTAGCAGAAAAGGTATAGTGTTGTCTCCTAGTATTTCTAAAATATTGATTTAATTGAAAATAAATTACAGTTAACAACAACACATTTCATAAACAGTGAATCATTTGAGTAGTTTATCAAGCTACAATGCCACATATTCCAGCTCCTCTGGGGTTCTATATGAAGCTTTACACTCTTTTATATCATTGTAAATAGTTGGGTTTTGGACTGTTGAAGCAACAGGAAGCTATAACTTTAGCTCTGGGAATCTGTGACGGGAATGTTTCTTTTAAAATGAAAAGTTTTAAAGTAAAAATCCATCCAAAAAATCCTCTGTGAAAGAATCCCTAGTTAAGTATTAGTTCTGTGATTCCTAAGGCATTGCTGTATTTCTGCTTGTAACGGTGATTTTAAACCTGGGTGACAGTGCCCACAGTCTAACGGTGCTTGCTGTGGTTCCTCCTCAGCACGCTGCACAGCCGTCTGGCCAGCGAGCACGCCCAGCTGAAAGATGAGCTGGAGGCGATGAGACAGGACAACATCCAGCTGGTGAGGGAGCACAACCACGTGAAGCAGGCCTGCGAGGAGCTGAGGAGGCTGCATGACGACGGCCAGAGGGAGGTGGTAGAAATGAGGATGCTGCACCAGCAGGTAAACAGGGACTGGCAATCTACATGTATGCTTACACGACTAATGAAAATAAAGAAATCTGCAAACTTTCTACACATCCTGTAGTACGCACACACTCTCTAACTGCCCTTCAGATTCAATCATTAACATCCTGACAGAAATCTATTCTCTCTTGGTGACCATTACTCCAAAGACCACAACATCACTCAGAGAAATGGGGTCAAACAAGCTCTACCTCTCATGTCTGCATCGATCAAAAACCTTCTATCAAATTAGACAAATGACTTGACCCGCATCTCTTGCTATTTGACTTATTGTCTGACAGCAGTCAGAAGGTTGGATCATTAAATGTTTGAAATACCTTACATAACCATGGGGAATGTCTTGCATGGCTTTTTGATAACCAGGATACATGTCTCATTGTCCTCAGAGCTCATGTCATCATTACGGAAACTCATGTTCAACGCCAGTCAAATTAGGAATCAAATTAGCTTGGTGATGTCAGTCCAATGACAACCTTTTATTGTTTAGTTGTTAGATGCCAGTGGCATACCACACACTCTATTGTCTCATTTGTAAAACATGCCTTTTGTATTGTACGCCATAGTAAAATATAAATATAGACAAAACCCATTGACACAGCATTATGGCATGGTCCTGGCAGAGGCCTGTGCTCTCCGAGTGCCATTTTTATATTTGTATTCAGAGCAACAAGACGTTGCATGCAGTATTACCGTACTTTTCCGAAGCAGCAGTGAAGGGTTGCACTTCTGTTTGTGAAGTCCATAAAAGTCAAGCTTTACAGAATCTCTCTTTCTAAGTGTTGCTCTGGTCCACTACCTCAACACACAGTCAAGGGCTGAAGCTTTGCTTTAGTTCAAGTTCATTCAGTTTTAAGTTCATTTTTCTGGACGTTATTAACATATATTATGGTTTCATTATTTACATCGTAGATAACCTTTTAGCTCAGTAAGGCATCTGAATGATGTAATTTCCAGGTGATGAGAGAGGGCTCATCTGATGTCCTCAGCAAGCTTTACGACACTACTGCGACCAAGTTGGAGACCGTGAAGATTGAGTACGAGGCTCTGAGGAAGCGCTACAACGATAACACGGCGGGTCACAACGCAGACCTGAGTCGCCTGGATCAGGCCGAGGAGGAGAACCACCGGCTGCAGAAACAGCTGGACATGCTGCTGAAGCAGAGAGACGCAGCCATCCACTATCAGCAGCAGTGCTCCTCCTCTATAAGAAGGTAAAGCCGGAAATATAACCGGACACACAAAGCTCGCACAGACTGAGCAGCTGTAAAATGTTTAATGATTAACAGCAAGCGCAGCAAACTTTGCTTCAAACTTACCCCTTGAATGTTATTCCAAGGTCAACACGGCACACTGCTTAAAATATTCTTAATCCAAGGCTGTTGAAGCTTTGCAGATGGGCACACGCTTTCCCATTCTCTTGTTGCCTTTATGATGCCAAGTTGGCAAGCGTGGTCACTTTTTTTTGCCTGTGTTTTTTCTTTGTTATGTTTTAGTTTTGTGGATTGATAAACACACAATGCATTCTTTTTGTTCCACAGGTTTGACAACACGCAGCAAGAGCTGTCCAAGGCCTCCTCCCAGAACAAGGAGCTGCAGCGGGAGATGGAGCGGCTGCAGTCAGAGGCGACCCGGCTGAAGACGCAGCAGCTCAAGGCGGCCAAAGACGGCGAGAAGTACAAAGAGGAGCGGGACTCTGTGATCAACGAGTACCGGCTGATCATGAGCGAGCGGGATCAGGTGATCAAAGAGGTGGACAGGCTTCAGACCGGCGTGGAGATGGCAGAGGCCAAGCTGAAGAACACTTCCTCAGAGAGACGGGTGGCCAGCGAGGAGCTGGAGGCGCTCAGACAGGTAACAGCTGGATCAAGGGCTGCTTTAAGGGTATACTTCAAAAGCAAATATATTTTCTAAAAACTGTATATTGTTGGAGGTTATTTTAAATTAGAGACTGGGAGAGCAGTTATTACTGTTTGGATCATAGATTTGTTGATCATATCTGTGAAAGTAATTAATATAATGTGTGATTCAAACTTAAAATGGTAATGCTATGTTTGTCAAAATATTGACTAAGAATGACTTATTGCATTATGTGTGTGTCCCAATCCACTGTAGCTAAGCTGGTTACAGCTGCTATCATTTTTAATTTTGGCAACACCCAGAGCTTATTTAACTCGTAAAACCAAATAGTGTCAACACTGGTATTAAAAGGCTACAGCTCAAAAAAGGACGACACACATTGATGTTTTTTAAAAAGGGATGTGCTTCAAGAGGGAAAATAGTCTTTGATACCCTCCACTTTCCCCCCTATAGGAAGCTTGTGGTGGTAGCACAATTTGTTCAGTGAGATGAGATAAGATTATATTCTATTGATTCCAAAGCGGGAGATTTCAGTGTTACAGCTGCCCAAGAAACAATCCTAAGTAGGAACAGACAAATGAATACCAAAAAAAACATATTAAATAAAAGATGAGCACAAAATATAAATGTTTTATTCATTTGATCTCCATCTTATTCTATTTGTGTGATATGAAGGAGCTGGCCTCAGCGCTGGTGGACAGGGACCGGGCCATCTGTGAGAAGAACGAGCTGCTGGAGAAATACTGCCACGAGGTGAAGGACAAGGCCGAGGCCCAGAAAGAGCTGAGCCAGGCCTGCAAGGACAATGAGACGGTACGAGAGGAGAGGGACGTGGCCCGCAAGGAGAGGACGGAGGCCATCATCCAGAGGGACCAGCTGCTGCGAGAGTATTACCAGGCCAGACAGGTAGCCAGACAGACGGGAGATTTATCATTACAAATGGAGGGATTGATTTATTCCCCCAACAATAATCCCTTCATCCCATCCTGTAAAGTAATAGTAAATGTTTATTTAGGAGCTGGCAGGTTGCCACACATTGATTTTTGTTGAAGTGTGTGTCACCCATCACAGTTTGTTTCAAAGGGGTCTGTCCGATGAATGGAAATGAAGATCCAGAGACTCCTGCATTAGGAAATTAGCAGCAATTACAGTGAAAAGGCTCTCAGACTTTGAAGTGCACAAGAGAACTGCACTGCATCAGAAAGGGATAATTAAGCCAAACAACAGTACAGTAAGGTCTAATGGAATTAATGTAGCTATGGACTTCATTAATGCTCTCACTATGTTCGGCAGTCTCTCTGCTGCACAGTTATTTACAGAGAGAACATTTACTACATATACACCAGCAGACTCTGAGTGAGACTCACACTCATTATACTATATTTGACCTACTTTAAACCACAGTAGCTAATCCAATCTATGACTGTTACACCTCAAGCAATCTTTATAGTGTGGGAGGTGGGGGGGGTTGCCTTTTAGCTCACATCAGTTTATTTGAGGTGTTTATGGTTAAACATGATGATGAATTTAATCTTTGAAGGCTTACAGCAGATGTTTTGAACAGTTCAAAGAAAAATTGCAACATTCACTTAATAAATTATTCACCAGGAGAGTGTGTTTGCATGTATTTGATGTGCCATGAGTTGCTGGAGGATGTTGCAGCAAAAGTTGAGCCAGCTTCCTTTTTTCCCACCAGACAACTCTTGTTTTGTCTTTTTGTACTGGAGCCTGTGCTTAAGAACCCCTGCTGAGCCAGGGCTGTTGTCTCATTTAAATGAATGAGAACGCTGCATTTCCTAGTTCCAAGTGCTAATGTCGGATTGAACACAGCCTCAAGTTTCTCATAAACATAAATATCTTTCATCCAGTCCTTTTGAGTTGTGTCTAAAGTACCAAAATCACCTTGACATTTCTTTCCACTCTCCAGAAAGAAGACTCTGCCACTCTGGACATGGAACGATCCAACAAGGAGATCGATATTCTGAGGAAGCAGTACGAGGCCGTCTCTCAGGAGCTGAAGGAGGCCGTGCAGGAGGCCGAGGTAGCCAAGTGCCGACGAGACTGGGCATTTCAGGAGAGGGACAAGATAGTGGCAGAGAGGGAGAGCATACGGTGAGGAGCGGGTTCAGAAGCTGTCTGTTTGATTATGTGGAAATATGTCTTGTTTACGTTACATGTTGGCGAAGACAGGCTTGGATGAAAATGTATTTGTTTACACTTTGTCTGTCGCCGATTTGTGAATCTGTCACCAGCACGCTGTGTGACAACCTGAGGCGCGAGAGGGACCGAGCTGTGAGTGATCTGGCAGACGCTCTGAGGAATCTGGATGACACCAGGAAGCAGAAGAACGACGCTGCGCGGGAACTCAAAGAACTAAAGTGAGACATTCCTCCACGCTTCTTTACAACTATTTGACAGACTTATCTCATTTTCTGCCCTATTTTTAGGTTCAAACCTTGAATGTTATTCACTTAGTTTATTTTGTGTCAGAGTGTGTGCGCTCCTTGTGTTTTGGGGATCCAGAATGACCTCATCCAAGATCTATTGTGCCCCCCGGTGGAGGAAGTGTGTCACTGACTGAGCAAAAGAACCCCTATCGATGACTGTGCTTACTTAAGAGCTACACATGTTGTGTGTCCTGCAGGGAAAAGATGGAAGATCAGTTAGAAAAGGAAGCGAGGTTTCGTCAGCTGATGGCTCACAGTTCACATGATTCAGCCATCGACACAGACTCGATGGAGTGGGAGACGGAAGTTGTAGAATTTGAAAAGCACAGAGTAAGAACCACTGTGAATGTTGTTATCATCTTAACATTTATATAAAATAATTTAACTTTCTGTGAACCAAATTGTAATGCTCTCAATCTATGCTTTTTTTCTTTTCTTATTCAGGACATGGATTTGAAAGCACTTGGGTTTGATATTGCTGAAGGGGTAAATGATCCTTATTTACCAGGAGATTGTGGCATATTTGTCAGTAAGGTGGATAAAGGAAGTATGGCTGAAGGAAGATTAAGGTAAATGCCTCACCACTTTGACAACTTGGTAATTAAAGCACATTTTTAAGCGTTAAAATGTTTCTTCGTTTATCGTAATCAAATATTTATTATCCCGTATTGCATTTAGTGTCCTTGTTTTTATTTTGAGGATTTAATCATTTAACCATTGCTCTGGATCTGTCTGTGCAGGGTGAACGATTGGTTGTTGAAAATAAATGACGTGGACCTGACCAATAAGGATAGGAAGCAAGTGATTAAAGTGGTGGTGAGCGGCGAGGGAGTGATTAATATGGTGGTCCGCAGAAGGAAGAGTCTGGGAGGACGGATCATCACTCCAATCCAGATAAACCTGGCAGGAAACAAAGGTAAAATAAAGGACTAATTATTAAGTAAACCTCCCCATTTTCATACTGCTGTTTTTTTTGTTTTACTTTTTTAGAAAGATGGACACATAACATGACATGTAATATGATTTTTTTTTTTTTCTCTGTCTAACCTCACAGACAGCGGCATCGGTCTGGAAAGTGGAGTGTTTGTTGCCACTTTGGCCCCAGGCAGTCCAGCTGCCAGAGACTGCGCTCTTACTGTCGGGGATAGACTGTTAGCTGTGAGTATGCTGTACAGAAAATATATGAATTATTCACGATAAGAGATGATGATTTGATGGCATTAGACAGGTTTTGAGATGTTGGCTTTTAGTGCCCTCTACTGACCACACTCGTGTTTAATGTCTCGATTACTTAACCTACAAAAAAGTCAAACTTTGAAGGGCACACCATGAAATGACCTTCAAAGAATGTAGTCTTGGCAGTTTGGTGACAGGAAATGTAGGTTTATTAATATGTGTGTGCTACAAGGACATTTGGTGTGTATTTCTGTAAATCAAATCTGCACCAAAGTTTTATCTAGTGTCAAATCATGGAGAATACAGCAGCATACTCAATAATCAAACACATATAGTTTGTGTGCTTTAATCTCTCATTTTAATTGGAGGAAGACATACTTGGTAAACTGGAGTTTTTCTAACTTTATTTTGTTCATCCACTGCAGATCAATGGCATTGCACTTGATAACAAGTCGCTCTCTGAATGTGAGACTCTGCTGAGAAACTGCCGTGATTTTCTCAGCATCTCCCTCATGAAGGTGAAGCTCTCAGACCCACATACACTTGTCTTGCACACACACTTTTTTACAGTATACATTTGTTGCCACTGAAAAAACAAGTATAGTGAGATAAGTGTTTATTGACCTCCCCTCCTCCACAGTTCCTCCCACAGAGCTGTTCCGGCCAGAGCTTATTTGAAGGTTTGAGAGACTCAGAAAAGATCTCTCGTCTCCAGTCCTGTGAGATCCACGCCAGGACCTGCAGGAACTCCAAGCACAACTGCTCTAAGCACAACTGCTCCACACAGACAGACATTTGCAGCTGTGACTTGGGCAGCAGAGGGGATGAAGTGTGTAAGGATGCATGTGACTCTCCAGACAGTAGCGACAGCAGCTCTCACTGCCTCCAGAAGCCTTTTCCCAGCAGCTCTGTGCACTCCCGCTCCCTTTCCAGCTCCCACAGTCCCTCAGAGCCCCACCCAGACTTCTGCTACAGGAGGCCGGAGCTCCACCATCGCCCCTTCACCTTCACCCCCGTGCCCTCCGACTGCAGCTCCCCTCAGACGGCTGTGGACCGAGTGCAGAGCTCAGCAGGGAAGCCCAGCGGAGGCACGTGGCCTAAAGTCATAGCGATAGCTTCTATTACTGAATGTGCCCAGCTCTCCATCTACAAAAAAGTCAAACAAAGGAAGTCCATCTTCGATGTGCAGGGTTTCAGGAGACCCGAGCCGTCCCCAAAACTGGACTACACGTCTCTTTCTCAGATACCCAAGCACTCCCCGCAGAGCTCGATATCTGAGGCCCCTCCCACCCCGCCAGCCAGGAGCGACTCGTTCAGGTTCAAACATCGCCAGCAGAACAGCTCGGCGTCAGACTCCACCATCACCACTGCCACTCCACCTGAATCCCCAGCCCAAGCTACAAGTCCACAGGACGGGGGGGAGGCAGGGAACCAGCTCTACTACGCCAACGCTCCTCCAGGAGAGACCACGAGCGGCGCCAAAAAAACTCCTGACAACGAAGGGAGTCGTCGCAGAGCAGAGGAGAAGCAGAAGAGGAGGTACCGGCCTAAATCGGCGCCTGCACTGCGGCCAAGAATTACTCCATTACACATCCCTCTTCCCATGCAGGTAGCTAAGATACTGCTCTTATCTGTTCTGATATTATTGTTGATGTGTGTTTTCTACATGTTACAGACTTGTCCCTGCTTGATTGTTTCTTGCAGATACAGAGTTTCTCTAACGACGAGCACTCCCCAGAGCCAATAGACTTGTTGCGCTTCTCTCCCAGGCGAACTAATCGGTACAGCATGCCCTTTGCACCCCCCAGCTACGGCAGCGTCCCATCATGTAAGTCTCCTGAACAACTTCAATGTTTTGATTTGCTTTTGCTTCTAGGAAACACGTCCTGGCATTTGTCTTTTTGTTCATGCTAGATAGAAGACGCACATAAATGGGAGAGGTAGGAATGGAAATGTACCGGTTTCTTCTCAATGACATCTGTATCGAGTCAGACATCGTGATCTTGTTCTGTGTGTTCCTCCAGATCCAGCACAACGAGGTTTAGCCCCATGTCCAGCTGTGACGGCTGTGATAAAGAACCCGGTGTACACTGCTTGGAGCCATGAGATCCAGAACAACAACCCTCCTCCAGCCCCCAGCTCGGGAGTCCACCTACATCCACACACAAGGTGTTAACATCTCCTCGTTGTTCTTTGTTTATACAAATAGGCCCTTTTTCACAGCAAACGTTTCAACTTGTCACAGTCGGAAGATCTCATCATATCCCTACTCTTATTGACATACCACAACTTGTTCCGTGTTCTCTGTTTATTATTATTATTATTAATATTATTATTAAATGATATCTTGGGACCAAAAACAGGACACTTGTGGATGTTACTTTGGGATCTGGGAGCTTGTGATTTTTCTGATATTTTATGGATTTATCGATGCATTTCTTTGAATGTTTGATACTGAAAGTAATCATTGGTTGCTGTCTTAGCATTTTTTTTTCACAGTGCTTACCCAATCACAGATCTCATGAACAGATGGCATGTGTCAAATAACATCTTGCTCTGGGTTTGAACGATTGACCACAGGGGAACTGACTGAGGCCCTTTTCTACACTTTTAGCCCCCAGCATCAGGTTCGCCACAGCCTGGACCTCAGCCACAAGCGCACTGGGGACTCGACTGAAACGAGCGTCAGCCAACCACCGCACAGCACCAACTCCCTGCCATCCAGCGCCAGACTGAGTACGCATGAAGTCCCAAATTTAGGCAAATCATATCTTGTATAATAATGTCTGTGAATGAACTGTCATTTTCAAAACGGAAACAAATGTATGTGGCTTTCAGGGAAACTGTTACAATAGTGTTAGACCTCATTTAGCAACTTATTTGACCACGAGATGTATCACACTCACTCAGCTCAGGAGATGACAGTGACTGATCGGCCACATCAAGGAGCATCATTGAAGTAATTTATCAGAGCAGTCTAGCGCAACTTCGGAAAAACAGATCCCCAACATCAATAAGTCATATCCTGGGTGTAACCCTGTAACTGCATGGCTTGTTAACTAAATAGGCAAGTGGGGTTGTTTTTTTCTCCCTGTGAATTTGAGTAAGCTTTTATCAACTGTCTTCTGTTTCTGGTCTTTAGGTTCCTTCAATACTTTGCAGTTCAGGACAGAACGCATAAAAATCCCTCCAACTCGGTATCCCCGCTCCACTGGATCTGAAAGAGGTACGGTTTAGTTATGAAGCTCCATCATTTAAAAACGAGTGTCACTGGCGTAAACAACAAGTCTGAATTCATACTTTTCTCCCCTGCCACCCCAGGCTCCCTCTCACATTCAGAGTGTAGCAGCCCGACGCCTCCAATGTCCCCTGTCAACCTGGAGACATCGTCTTTCATCAGCAGCCAATCACAGAGCTCCATCTCCACCCAGCCCAGGATATCAGTCAGCCCCGCTCCAGCTGGTGACAGGCAGAAGGAAGGGTAGGTAGGCCCCTCGTCCGGGTCGTTACGCTGCCATCGTTCAACAGAACACGACGTGCTTTCCACCATTTGTCTGTACTTCTGTCTGCTTCATTGTGATAAAGTGCTCTTAAAGCAGTAAACAATGCTGTGAGGCTCCATCCTCATATCATTAGAACTCCTACTCACCATCTATCATTATGTTCTCCTCTCTTTTCCCCTTTGCATCTGTTCATTATAACCTGAAATACTCCTCTCCTTCTTTGGGTGATTATTCTCTTTCCTCTCTCTGTTTCCTTCTCAGATTTGTTTCTTATAACACTCTCTCTGTCAGACTTCCACTGGCAGTTCAGCCCAAGTTCCTCTCTTTAAGAAGCTTGAGGTTTGTCCTGCTTGCAGCACATACAGTATATGCACTACCTGTAAGGCTGTTAAAGCACAGACATCAAGACCTTCTGTGTACACACTGCAGATATCTAATGTAGCGTCAGTGATGCTAGAATTTAATAGCCATAACAAAGAGCTAATGGATCTGTATCCCTTAAGTCCTGATCTTTTCCTTGCTTGTTATTTATTCAGAATGCTGTTGAATTTTGTATGATTGCATGACAAGAGTTGGATTCTGAAATGCACTTGCCAAGTTGCACACTGTTCCCATATCCTATTGTTAAGTCTTTTTTTTAACCTCGATGTTCGCAATGCATCTTTGCTTTAAAGTAAAACACAGTTCAGAAAGCTACATTTCATTGAAAAGTTAAATTACAGCTGCTCCTGTGGATTTGTAGTTTAAATGATATGATTTTCATATCATTTAGAGTTGCTTGTTGCATCCTGCCAGGAGTAGTTTCCCAGAGGTGTCAGAACATGATATTTCTATTTTCCCCCCTCAAGGCCGTACTTAGAGGAGCCGCGCAATGTGACTGTTCAGAAAGGAGCAGAACCTCTGGGGATCTCCATAGTGAGTGGAGATAACGGGGGAGTGTTTGTGTCCAAAGTGACAGCAGGCAGCATCGCACATCAAGCTCGCTTAGAGTACGGAGACCAACTCCTAGAGGTAAAGCAGCCACCGCACTACAACTTTATATTTAGCTGTTGTTTTCTGTTTCTGATGAATCTCTGTTTCTTCCAGTTCAATGGAATCAACCTTCGCAATGCCAACGAGCAGCAGGCGCGGCTTGTGATCGGGCAGCAGTGTGACACAGTCACCATTTTGGCTCAGTATAATCCTCACATGTTTCAGCTGGGCAACCACTCTCGTTCAGGGTGAGGAGGCGAGGAGGCAGGAACACCACAGCAATACATTAGACGGATAACTTATGACTCATACATTTTCGTTCCATATTCATTCAACCATTCTGGCAAAAAAAAGCCTGTGTGCACAGTGCCAGTTGTGACAGTATAATGTGAGAACATAAATGGAATGTTTATGGTTCTATTCAAACAGTGAATACATGTCAACAGCAAACACGATATTATAAAAATGCAAACATTCATATAACACACTGCAGGGCCAAATAAAAAAATTGAATCAAATGAGAAATGGAGTGAATATTCAAAACAACACTCTTCACATAATGTATGCAACAGCTTTTGTGTCTTCTCTTTTAAAAGGATAGTTTGAAGTAGGGTTTTATACTTATCCATCAGTCAGTGTAAAACCTACAGTAAAGTTCTGAGAAACAAACAGGAGGGCAGAGAGACTGCTGTTATTAGTGCATCAGTAAACCATGTTTAAAAATTAAAAATTAAAAAAAAAAAGGTCAAATTTGTAAAGTAAATATCAGTTTAATTGAACCCTGAATCTAGAGT